GGGGTGGGGAATACTGGGGATTGAACTCAGGTTACTTTACCACTGAGTCACATCCCCAGCTCTTTTTTTTTTTTTTTTTTTAGTTGTAGATGAACAATATCTTTCTTTATTTTTATGTGGTGCTGAGGATTGAACCCATTGCCTCACACATGCAAGGCTAGCGCTGAGCCACAACCCCAGTACCCCCCAGCTCTTTTTAAAATTTTTAAGTTTTGAGACAAGTTTCTTAGGGCCTTGCTAAATTGCTGTTGAACTTGTGATCCTCATGTCTCAGCTTCACAAATCACTGAGATTACAGGTGTGCACCACTACACCCAGCTGATGAAGTCTTAGAGAATATACATCTCACAAGTTTTGAAGTTTTCTTAAAATACATCCCTAAGAATAGAAGTAGTGGGTTAAATCTGTGAATATTTCTCTAGCTTTGGTGGTGCTTAATTTTTATGAGTAGTTGTGATTCTTTTTCTTTTTTTTTTTTTTTGTTTTCAGTGGACACAACATCTTTATTTGATTTTTATGTGGTGCTGAGGATCGAACCCAGCGCCCCGTGCATGCCAGGCAAGCATGTTACCACTTGAGCCACATCCTCAGCCCCTGTGATTCTTTTTTTTTTTTTTCCAATTGGATCTTTTTTTTTTTTAGTTTTCAGCAGACACAACATCTCTGTTTGTATGTGGTGCTGAGGATCGAACCCGGGCCGCACGCATGCCAGGCGAGCGCGCTACCGCTTGAGCCACATCCCCAGCCCCCCCTGTGATTCTTAATGACAGTCAGCCTGTGTCTTTCTATCTTGTCCAAAGGATGTGAGGAAAGATTTTATTATATGTCTTAATGTATTTATACTAGATGTATAAAATTTCCCTAACCTTATAACCACAGAAAATAGTTCCTGCTTCATAGAGTGCTCATGTGGGTTAAATGTGTAGGTGCATGAGAGCTCTTAGAATGGTGCCTGGCTTGGAGTGAATATTCAGTTGTCATCAGTGATGATTCTGATCACTCTTATAAAGGACATGAGATTAGTTTTCTACTCTGATTCTTTATAGATTCATCATTGAAGTATTAGAGGTTGAGTTTTGGCAAGTTATCATCACTAGACAGCTGGCTTCTGACCATGAAGGGATTTTATTTTGCTTTGGAAGTTAGTTTTTTTTTTTTTCAAATACAGATTTATAAAGAGAGCTACAAGGTCAAAGTTGCGCAGCTCATCTCTAGTATATATGGCCTCAGATATGAAAAACACATTTTTGAGTGGGCCCAATCAAGATGATGAAGGAATTTTTGGTTGTGCTTGTTTATTTAGCCTTGCTTGGTTTAAAAAAGTACATGAAGCATTTATAGAGCCACATATTATACAACACCGTGCTTGGCATCTAATGAGACTCACAGCTGCTCCATGTTGGCCATTGTTGCTGATAGTAGCAGCAGTAGTCAAGTAGTATCATTAACAAGATAAAAATAAATAAATAAATAGCGAATGCTGGGGTTGAGGCTCAGTGGTAGAGCGCTCACCTAGCATGTGGGAGGCGCTGAGTTAGATCCTCAGCACCACATAAAAATAAATAAATAAAATCAAGGTATTGTGTCCAACTACAACTGAAAAAAAAATTTAAAAAATAGCAAAGGAAATTTGGGGAAATGATGGCCTGAAGCTAGTTAGGGTTGACATACAAAACATCTTTATAAAGTTCTGTTTATGCAATTGCTAAAAGTGGGTTATGGATTTGTCAAGCTTTCTAGAGGCCCAGGTAAATATTAGTTATATAATTCATGGGAAGCTTCAGGTAAAGTTCTCCTGTAGGTCCTCATCAAGATGCTCTTTTGTGGACTGGGGAGGTAACTCAGTGATAGAGTGCTTGTGTAGCATGTATGAGGCCCTGGGCTCAGTCTCCAGAACTGGGGGGGTGGGGGGAGGTATTCTGGGGTGCAGAGGGCCACATCTACATCTTCTAACCCCATCACCTACATATATATATATATATATATATATATATATATATATATATATATATATATATGGTTGTCAATGGACCTTTAATTAATTAAGTAATATATGGTGCTGAGAATCGGATCCAGTGCCTCACACATGCTGGGTGAGTGCTCTGTCACTGAGTCCCAGCCCCAGCCCTCTCATCCCAATCCTAATGCCAATAGCAGATTTATAGAATGTTAATTTAAAAAAAATGTATATATTCATTTAATATTTTTTTAGTTGTAGTTGGACACAATACTTTATTTGTTTGTTTTTATGTGGTGCTGAGGATCAAACCAGGGCCTCACACCTGCTAAGCAAACACTGTTCCACTGAGAAACAACCCCAGCCTCAGAATGTCAAATTTTAAGCAGGGTTGAACTCCAAGAAAAAACTAGCTACAACATGTTTCTTTTGGCTCTCTGGGGTTACTAGCTAGATACAGAGTACCTCTTCCTTGTCCTTCTCCAGCAGACATTCACAAAAAAATGAGACATGGTGGCCCTAGAAGTATCCAATTAGTAAAAAGATGTTTTGTTTGTGCCATGCTCCCTGCATTGGTATCAGAGACTGAAACTAGAGGCACTTCACCACTGAGCTACATCCCTGCACTTTTATTTATTTGTTTTTTAGTTTTAGGTGGACACAATATCTTTATATTTATTGGGGTGCTGAGGATTAAACCCAGTGCTTATGCATGCTAGGCGAGCACTCTACCACTGAGCCACAACTCCAGCCCCTTCCCTGCATTATTTATTTATTTATTTATTTTTCTGATTTTATTCATTTGGAACCTGGGATTAAAACCAGGGGTGTGTAACCACTGAGCTTACATCCCCCAGCCCTCTTTAAAATGTTTCAGTTTTGAGACTGGGGTCCCACTAAGTTGCTGAGGCTGGCTTTGAATTTGTCCTCTCAGCTGGAATTATAGGTGTGTGCTTCCACTGGCTTTGAACATGGGTTTTGTTACACACTAAAAATAAAAGGTCATTGGGGGACTTGGTGGTAATATTTGGAGGTTTTGGTGGTGGTGATTTTTTTAATATGTTTTTAGATCTGCCCACTGAGTTTGGAGCAAGCCTGCCTTTTATAGGGCAATCAAGTTGTTCTGACCTCAAGCTACTCTAGCTCCAGGTCATCTGCTGGGCCTCCTTCCCTTTTTTCTCAGAGGTCTACGACCTATAACCTCAGAGAGCTTGAATTTGACTCTCTTCCTTCCATTTTCATTAACACCCATTGTGTCCCAAGCCTTTTGCATGCTAGAAATTGAACCCAATAGTGCTTTACCCTGAGCTTAGGACTTTGCTAAGTTGCTGAGGCTAACCTGGAACTTTGGATCCTCTTTGCCTCAGCCTCCTGAGTCACTGGGATCATAGGAATGTACCACCACACCTGTGAGGCAAGTGCTCTACTTGTGAGGCAAGTGCTGCATCCCCAGCCCAGATCATAAGATCTTCAAGCAAGATTGGGGTCCTCTCTGGGCAGCAGCACCATTCCTGATGGATTTTTATCCTGTTGTAGGAATCAGGTGACTTTGTACAGCCTCCTCAGCTCTGACTAACTAGACATCCATGGGATGGATGCTTTAGTCTGGAATTTCCTGAAAAAAAGTTTCCCAAATCACAGATGCAATGTGGGGAAGAAAGATCATGCATCTTGGAATTAGGGGGCCATGAGTTCAAATCAGACTCTGACATGCACTCCATTATTATTATTTTTTTAAATTATTTATTTATTTTTTAGTTTTCGGCAGACACAACATCTTTGTATGTGGTGCTGAGGATCGAACCCGGGCTGCACACATGCCAGGCGAGCACACTACCGCTTGAGCCACATCCCCAGCCCTGCACTCCATTATTAACCACAATTTCGTAATCCATGAAATGGGACTAATAAAGCTCCCTTCACAGAAGACCCTGCGGTAAGAGATAATAGAGATAAAACACCTAAGGAATCTAGCCCATAGAAAGCGCTCACCCACAGGTAGGTACTAGGGATTGAACCCAGGTGTGTTCTATCACTGAGCTGCTTTCCCAGAGCTATTTATTAATTATTGTTATTAATTATCATGCCTGATATAGATCTATATCCCATATATATGGTACCAGGCATTGAGCCCAGGGGCACTTAACCACTGAGTCACATCCCTGCCCTTTTTATTTCTTATTTTGAGACAAGGTCTCTCTAAGTTGCTTAGGGCCATGCCAAATTGGTGACTGGCTTTGAACTTGTGATTCTCCTGCCTCAGCCTCCCCAGCCGCTGGGATTACAGGTGTGTGCCACCGAGCCCCGCCATGACCTTTTATTTTTACTGTGAAACAGGGTCTGGTTAAATTGCCTAGGCTGGCCTCAAACTTGCAATCCTGTCTCAGCCTCCCAGATCTACGGGATTACAGGCATGCATCACTATGTCTGGTTCACGATCCTTATTTTCGGGTCACAAAACTGATCCTCCATCAAGGGTCCTTTTGAAGCAGTAAAAATGAGGAAAATAATATCTAGCATTTACTGAGCACTTACTATATGACACTCAGATTCTAAGTGCTTTACACAATTTACAGGTGTTCATTACAGTAACCCTTTGAAGTAAGTATGATTATTTTACATATAAGAAAGCAGGGGCTGGGGATGTGGCTCAAGTGGTAGCGCGCTCGCCTGGCATGCGTGCAGCCCGGGTTCGATCCTCAGCACCACATACAAACAAAGATGTTGTGTCCACCGAAAAATAAATAAATAAATATTTAAAAAAAAAAAAAAAAAAGAAAGAAAGCAGAGGCTCAGAGAGGTTTAGTAACTTAAAGGAGGAGACCCGCAAGGAGGCCCACTCGGGGTATCAATCAGGCAGTCAGGCCCTGCCCTGCAGATGCAGGCCCTAGAATCATCCAAATGGTCCCGAATCGACACAATAGACTGCTCCGCCCTTCTCGGGAAGAACATGAACGAATAACTCCAGAGAACCACTCAGCCTGCTGGAGCAGAAGGGGTTATTCCCACTGAGACGCCAGCCCCGCGCTCCTAGAGAGGCCCCATGTGGGCGGGAGCCGCGCGCGCTTCCTGCGAGTGGCCGGGACTCCGGGATTGCGACCCGCTGGCTCTGGGCTCGGCGCTGGACGCTCGGGCCAGGTTGCGCGCCGGGTTGCGGCCTGGGGCCCCCATCCTAGAGGGCGAAGGGAGGAGGAGCCCCCACCTGAGCCGCGGAAAGGGAGGACGAGGGGCCAGGAGCCGAGGGGGTGCGGGCAGCGGGGCGGGTCTCTCCGGGGACCTTCGGCCGCCCGGTGGCTGCGGGTCCTCTGGTACCCGAGGCTGCCTGCGGCGGGCCCAGGCGGCCGCCCGCAGCGGCAGGGACTTCTGGAAGGACCCAGCCCGCTGCGCAGGGCCCTTCAGGTGACACTGAGCCTTCTAGAGTCCCCGGGTAAGGAGCCATCGTTCCTCCACCTCCCCAGGGCGGGCCTGGCCACCTCCTTGTAACCCTCATAACCGCCCTGCGGGTCGTGGCGGGGTGTCCCTAGGGGCTGTTTGACAACTAGACTTGACAAGGTCGCTCAGCCGCAGGGCAGCCACCAGGCAGATCTGGTTTTCAGGACCCTCCACGAGGTGGCCGCGACCCGATCCAGATTCTCTAAACTCAGTCACCCTGAAACCAAACTGGCTGTCCTTCCCCTTCGCAGGCAGAGGGCTCATCCTCAGTCCAATTGGAACCTCGGTTACCTTTACTTACCTGCCACTCTTAGCCACTTCCCTGGTCCCCACCTTATCATACTCTTTGGTGGCTTAACTACAGCCATCCTCCTTTCCCCACCCCCACTTTCTGGATACTGTTCTTATTCTCAATCCATAGAGACTTGCTGCTCTCCGTTCTCTCCTTGAGAGATAAAAAGTTGCTCTTCTTTGTTCTCAAGAAACAGTAACTTGCCTTCTGCAAAATCAGGTGATACTTGCTATGCCAGTGACAAGGGCCAAATCCGCCGCTAACGCGCGGCCATGATCCCGGCCTATTAAAGGTGATACTCAAGGGGGAGTTGCTGCTGCGTCCCTCTCCTGCCACTGTCTCCGCGCGGAGCAGCCGGTCAGGTCCCTGACAATAAATCTGCTTATGCCTCTATCCTTGGAGTGTGCCCCTGTCCTGCTTCACATTTCTTTCAGTCTTCATCTTTTGCAACTAACCTGGTTTTCCAGTCCTACTGCCACCATCTTTGCACCCCTCTGTCACAAACTTCTGTCACTAATGTAATCTGCCATCTTAACTGCTTCTTTCTTTTTGCACAGGCCACTTTGTAGAGTCCTCCAACCCTTGCATTGAATGGTTCCCTTGTGTGTTTCCACACACACACACACACACACACAACTTGTTAATGATTTGCTAAGTCCAAATCAAAACTCCTGAACTTGGCATTCAAGATAATTTGAAATCTGGCTCCAGCTTACCTTTCTAACCTGACCTCTCTTGGTTCCTTAAGTAGAGGTCATAAACTGGCAGATTCAACTGAAAAATGGGTTTCCACCGGCCAGCAGAATTTCTTTTTAAATTTAACTCGATATTTGTTTTTAAATTAGGTGATATTGTTCTTTAAAAAATCCAAATTTGAGGGCTGTAATTGTGGCTCAGTGGTAGAGCATTCACCTAGCATGCGTGAGGCACTGGGTTTGATCTAAAGCACCACATAAAAATAAATAAATAAAATAAAGGTATTGTGTCCATCTACAACTAAAAAGTATTTAAAAAAAAAATCCAAATTTCCACCAGGCATGATGGCGGACCCCAGCAAATCAGGAGGCTGAGGCAGAATAAGTTCAAGGCCACCCATAGCAATTTACCAAGACCCTTAGCAACTTAATGAGAATTATGTCAAAATAAAAAATAAAAAGGGACTGGGGATGTGGCTCAGTGACCCTGGATTGTTCAATACCCAGTACAAAAAAAAAAAAAGCGGGATTGTGGGTAGTTCTTGGGTGTGATACTGGCCAAATTGTATTGTTGCATTGTATGCATACATTAATATGTAACAACAAATCCCATCATTATGAACAACTATAATGCACCAGGCTGGGAATATAGCTCAGTTAGTAGAGTGCTTGCCTTGCATGCACAAGGCCCTGGGTTCAATCCCTGGCACCACACACACAAACTATAATGTACCAACAAAAAACATGGGGGGAAAAGTCCAAATATATTGCTTATTTTGAAACAATAATGCTAGCACACTTGGTCCATGTTCTTGCATTCAGTAACTGGCTTAAATTGAGAAGTGGCTGCCCCCTTTAGATAGGGCCATGACTCCCAATTTGCCATAGTCCTCACCACTCCCAAGACCTCCCGTCTCTGAGCCTGAGAGTCAGCTGTTGTGCTTGCACTGATGGTTTTCATATAATAGTGAACATTTATGGGACTCATGTCTCTACCAAAGTATACATGTGGAAGTTAGACCAAGAGGAATGATGTGTAAAAGACAACTGAGAATGTACCCAGTCTCTTTAACTCATTTATTTTTCTTTCCTGGACCCCATAGCCATTTGAGTCTGCCACTCCAGCCTTTTATGAATCAACACAGCTAGATTAGATGCTTCACAGATTTTTATGGCTCTGCTGTACCTTCTCCAGTGAGTAAACTCTATTTAGCAAGGTCCAGAGCTACTTTTACTCTGCAAAGGCTTCCCAGACAACAAACCATCCATCCATCATCCAGCCACCCACCCCAGCAACACTTTTGGAGTCCAGGGACTAGGTTGGGTGGGTATGACCATATCACTATTACCTCTCCCTCCTCTGGATTTCTGTATCTGTCCTTAAATCACAGTCTTACTGTTAAATATAACATCATAATGTTATACAGTGACTTGCACTTAGTAGGTAGACAATAAATATCACCTGGTTAAATGGCATGGTCATGCACATGTCTTCTAGTTTCTCAGGCCTTTGTATCTGTCTTTGCACTGTCCTAGTGACTAGCACAGTGCCTGACACATAGTGAACATTAGGTGATGTGGGAGGAAATGTGCTATAGCCAGGCGCCCCAGACAAGTTTCTGGTGCCAAAGTTGGAAACAGCCCACCCAAACCTTAATATACAGAGGAATGAAGAAGAAACCCCAGAAAACAGAGGAGAGGCCTTACTCAGTCCTGAAAGCAGGAAACATGTCACAGACCACTTGACCTAGAGGTTCTGCTCAGGATTCAGCTGAAGCTACCTCTAGAGCTCAGCTGTATCCACGTGACCTTGTGAGCAAAACATCCAGCTGGATTCTGATTCTGAATTCCAAACTTTAGAGTGACAACAATGGTTGTCAGTACTGAGGCACTCTTTCACCCAAACACTTGCCAAGAGCTTCATACCATGACCTCCATTTAGCCTCCATGACATAATACTATCTCTAGTCTACAGATGACAAGCCCCGGGTTTCTGTGCCCAGGAAGCCTGCCTAAGCAGAGCCAGGATTTCAAATGCACCGGACCGATTCCAGAGCCCCCATGCTCCTTTAAAACATTGAGGGCTAGGCTGGGGTTGGGACCCCAACTCTTTTTCCTCAATTTTCTCTACCATACTTCTTTAACTCCCTGCCTAAGAGATCAAAATATATATCATCAGGAGCAAGAGAAGTCTGAAGAGAAAACTTCAGATTTGTATTTCTTTATTTTATGAAACTGACAGATAACGTAGCTCCAAAGTCTTGAGTGATAAGCTTATACTAACAGAGGGAAGCCACTTTCCAAAGAAAGGGCAGAGAGGGTTGGGGTTGTGGATCAGCAGTAGAGTGCTCACCAAGCATGTGTGAGGCACTGTTTTCGATCCTCAGCACCACATAAAAATAAATAAAATAAAGGTATTGTGTCCAACTACAACATATATATATATTTTTTTCTTTTTTTGTTTAAGGGTAGAAGGGGAGAGAGAGAGAAATCATGTACTTATTGAATACCTATTATATACCAGGGAAGGTATTAACCTATTTTACAGAAGAGGAATGTGAAGCTTCAAATGTCATATAATTTTGCGAGCATTAAGCTGATGCTGAGGGGGAAAGTGTGGATCAGATACCAGGCTTGGTGGTCACAAAGCGTCTAACACTCACCACCCTAGTCCCTCACTGCCTAAATGTCATTCTACACTTTCTCTTCTTGTACTTCAGTGTTCTTGTAGATAGGTCTGTGGAAGGAAAAACTAATGCCTCCTAACCAAAAATAGGTAAGTTTTATAAAATATCCTTGTAAAACTTTTCTTCTTTATCACAAAAGTGCCCAGTACATTAGTTCATTCATTTATTCATTCAATAAACACATTAAGTACTTACGCTGGGCTCTCCTAGGCCCTGTAGATATGATTATTGAACAAACCATATAAAAAGTAATTTTAAAAAAATCCTGCCCTTCATGATTTTTTGCTTGTTTTTTTTGAGCTGTTGGGAACTGAACCCAGGGCCTTGTACATGCAAGGTTAAGTTCTCTACCAATTGAGCTATTTCCCCCGGCTGAAATTCTGCTCTTCAGGGCTTAAATTCTACTAAGGAGGACACATAAAAACCAAACCAAACCAGACAAACAAACATAAAGAGAAAATAAAGTGAGGAAAGGAAGATAGGAAGTGTGGGGATCAGGGAAAATGTCAAAATTTTGTATGGGTTGGCCAGGGGGACTTCTCTGAGAAGGTAGACTTTTAGTAAAGACATAAAGGAAGTAGATGTTTAATAACTGGCTGCCGGAATAAACAAAACAATTTTTTTTTTTTGTATCAGGGATTGAACCCAGGGCCATTTAATCACTGAGCCACATCCCAACACCTTTTAATTTTTATTTTGAGACAAGGTCTCACTAAGTTGCTTAGAGCCCCTGCTAAGGTGCTGAGGCTGGCTTTGAACTTTTGATCCTCCTGCCTCAGCCTCCTGAGCTGCTAGAATTACAGGCATGTGCCTGGCAGGAATAAATTTTTAAAATGATGCTCCCTCCAGGAAGGAAACTGCAAAGCTACTCAAATATGATATGTCATCCTTGAAACAGTACAAGAAGCAAGAAAAATCACAAAAGATGAAAGTCCTTTTCCTTTTCACCATTCCCTTTTGTTCTTTCTAATTTTGCCCAAGGAAGTTTCTCACTTCTCGCGGAATGTGCACCAAACTCATTTCTGTTCTGCCCTTTCTGTTCTTCCCTCCACAATCCCAATTCCATCATGGCTAACTAAGAAATGAGGTGGCTATTGAGGTGGGACAGCCTGAGGTGCCTCCTTCAATTACATGAGCCAGAGCATGAAATGGTGCCTGAGCTTGAGATGGGCAGACTTCGGAGATCCAGGAAATCATCTGCAGGGCCAGAAGGTCCAGCAGAGCACCCCAGAGCTCTCAAGAATGAAAGGGAAGAAACAAAAATATGTGGTTCTTTTTATTTTTGCTTCCTGGGATGTTGCTTTTGATTTAACAGCTTTATTGAGATATAATCATATTCCATACACTTCATCTACCTAAAGTGTACAACCTACTGATTTTTAGAATATTTACAGGTGTGGAGAGTCGCCATGGCCAGCTATCCATATGGGCAGGTGGTATCCCACCCAATGTGGATCCTGAGGCCTACTCCTGGTTCCATGCTGAGAGCCATTGCCAAGTAGGTATGATGCATGGCATGACCCAGGTCATTTGAAGTGACATTGCATGTAAGGTGACCTTGCTCAAGGACCAGGGCGGATCCAGGTTTAGGGTGTATCCTGCTGGGAATAGGGCGTATCCTGCTGCCTCAGGCTTGCCACTCCTTGAGTTCCCGTTGAGTTCTCCCAGGATTCAGAGAGTATTTGGGATTCAGAGCCCGGTGGAGTGGGTGGGTTTTGCCCAGAATGTGGATTTTGCCCAGAACGTGGATTTGCCCAGAACGTGTGTGTAAAGTGCCGGTGACAATTCGAGAATAAAGAGTTGCTGTTTGAATCTACAAGGTGTGTGGTGGCTCGTGATTTTGTGCCCAGCCAGACTGCGGCAGTTCCAGTCAGTGGACTCAGGTCACAGTGGCTACATCTCCAAGAAGGAGCTAAAGCAGGCCCTGGTCAACTCCAACTGGTCTTCATTCAATGTCAAGACATGCCTCATGATGATAAACATGTTTGACAAGACCAAGTCAGGCCGCATTGATGTCTATGGTTTCTCAGCGCTGTGGAAATTCATCCAGCAGTGGAAGAACCTCTTCCAGCAGTATGACCGGGACCACTCAGGTTCCATCAGCTACACAGAGCTGCAGCAAGCTCTGTCCCAAATGGGCTACAACCTGAGCCCCCAGTTCACCCAGCTCCTGGTCTCCCGCTACTGCCCACGCTCTGCCAGTCCCACCATGCAGCTCGACCGCTTCATTCAGGTGTGCACCCAGATGCAGGTGCTGACCGAGGCCTTCCGAGAGAAGGACACCACGGTGCAGGGCAACATTCCGCTCAGCTTCGAGGACTTCGTCACCATAACAGCTTCTCAGATGCTATGACCCAGCCTATCTGTAGACAGTGGAGCACATCAAGGGACCTTTCCTGGCTCCTTAGAGTGGGAGAAGCATGTGGGCCTCTCTTCTTTTCTTTCCCCTCCTAAAAAAATTCTCCCTAGCTTGATGCAGCACTGTTCCCAAAGAGGGTTGAGGATTCTGCATCAGAGCCACCAAATAATGGATCCCTGGACTGTGGCCATACAGGTAGGAAGGAGCCTGACCTAGGAGAGGACTGGAAATTGAGTGTCCTGACAGGCCTGAGCAATCGGCTGTGCCTCTGGCCCTTAGCTTCCCCCTCTGTGCACTGACACCAGTGTTAAGTGTTCTTCAGCCTCTTACCATTAGCATCTGCCTTCCCTCAGCGGCTGTCCTGTCAGATGAGCCCAGCTTCTCCAAAATGGAATTGACCAAGCTTGAGAGAGATTTGCCTGTGGGACCAATGGCTTGGATTCCTGCTCATTCACATCCTCAAGTCCTTGTGTGTTAACTTCTAACTGGGGGCTGTCCCTGCTCAGGGAGCTGGGACAGTCTGCCCTCTGGGTATCTCAGCCAGGCTACTGCCCTCCAAAGCTTGGAACCTTCAATTGCCTGCCATGCTCCGCTCTGCTTTAGTTCCTGGAGGACAGATGTCACCTCCCACTGCCGATGCTGTTGTTTTTGTTTGTTTGTTTGTTTGTTTTTGTTTTTTAATGTGTGAGTTATCATATGGGGCCAAAAGTCCAGTGAAACTGTAAGCTTCAATAAAAGAATGAAATTCTGTAAAAAAAAAAAAAAAAAGAATATTTACAGGTGTGCAGCCATCACCATAATCAATTTTAGAACATTTTCATCTCTCCAAAATAAATCTTGTGTCTCTTAGCTGTCACTTCTTTTTTCTCCTCAGTCCCCCTCCCCAAACCCTAGGCAACCACTAATGTACTGCCTCTGTAAATTTCCTTAATCTTGACATTTTGGGGCTAGGGTTGTGGCTCAGCGATAGAGTGCTTGCCTAGCATGTGCGGGGTGCTCAGTTCATTCCTCAGCGCCACATAAAAAATAAAGTTATTGTGTCAAACTATAACTAAAAACAAAATATTTAAAAAGATCTTGACATTTTGTATAAATGACACATATTGTGTTTGGCTTTAATTGGCTTTTTCCCCCCTTTGCTCTTTTTGGAAGGTGGTTGAGTGATCACTGACAAATTTGTGAAGGTGTATTTGGAACCACTTCTGAAGGGGACAAAAGTAACAGGAAAAACAAGAGGGAGATCTGTTTACCTTTTATCACTCTATTTTTGCTTTGAAAGTAACCATAAATGTAAATAGGATAGAAATGCTAAGTAAGCCAGGTGTGATGGTGTACACCTGTTATCCCAGTGGCTCTGGAGGTTGAGGCAGGAGGATCAAGAGTTCAAAGCCAGCCTCAGCAACTTAGTGAGGCCCTAAGCAACCCAGTGACACCTGTCCCTAAATAAAATATAAAAAGGGGGCTGGAGATGTGGCTCAGTGGTTAAGCACCCCTGGGTTCAGTCACCAGTACCACAAAGGAAGAAAAAAAGAAATCCTAAATAGATGAAAGTGGGAAGTACTGCAAATTAGTTTATATTTCTGTGGACAATTTTTAATTTTATTTTTATTGGGGTGCTGGGGATTGAACCCAGGGCCTTAGTGCAAGCAAGGCAAGCACTCTACCAACTGAGCTATATATATCCCCAGCCCATCTGTTCGCGATTTTCTTTCCCTGTTTTTACATATTGCCTTCTGTTTGTTAACACTGTGTAAAGTCAATAATCACAAAATTGGAAAACCTGGGTTCTTTATATTGTGACTCAGCCACCATTCAAGTTTACTATTCTGCAAAATGAGGGGGTTACCATTATCCTCTCCAGCAGCATCTCCTGAGTTGCAGGCACAGTCTTTCAGGGATCTGTTGATATTTTACTTCAAGCTGCCAACCTAGACTTTACCTTTCTTTTCTAAAAGTTCAGTATACAGAAAGTGCAGGGGGCTGAGAAGATCTTAACTTCGTATAACATTTTAAACATTTACAAAAAAAAAAAAAAAAAAAACAACAACTTTACACACGTTATCAAAACTGTTAGCTAGAAAGGGCCTCAGAGGACATCTAATCCAATCCCTTCGAAATAAGAAGAGGAAACAATCCCAGAAATAGGATGTGATTTGATCAAGGCCTCCCCCAAGTCAGTGCCAGAGCTGGGGTCAGTTCTAGGCTTCCCGTGCCTATGCATTTACATATGAGGAAGCCCAAGCCCCAACAAACTTAAGGAATTCTATAAGAACGGGGCCTGTCAGCCCTGCCGGGCGCGGTGGCACACTAATCCCAGTGACTCCAGGAAGCCGGGCAGGAGGATCACAAGTTCAAGACCAGCCTCAGCAATTTAGTGAGACGACGTCTCAAAATAAAAAATAAAAAGGTCTGCGGATGTGGCTCAGTGGTAAAACGCCCCTGGTTTCAATCCCCAATACCAAAAGAAGAAGGAAGGTGATGGGGGGAGTCCTGTCAAAAGGGTGGGATCCTTGGCGATCACCTAGAGTCCCATTCCTCCACTTTCAAATGGCTTAGACGAGGGTCCAAAATTTCTTGGAATTTCCTGGACCTAGATCCTCCGAGCTTGCAATGAGCCTGAATGAACGACCGGGAGGGGTCCCAAAGGCAGAGGGATCTTTCTTGGAGCCGGGCGGTGACAATTACTCCGGTCCCCAAGCTCCTCCTCTGGACCTAATGCAGGGGAACCCCGCCTCCGCAGCCAACAGCTGGGAGAGCGGAGCGTGCCCGGGTTGGGGGCGTGGTCTTACAGCAAGCCAATCCCAGGCCGCATCATACTAGGTGGCCCCGCCCCTCCCCTTCAGCTCTTCGCTGGGGAAGCTGTGCGGTGACCCAGGCAACCGCCAAAACTAACCGCCCGCCTACTGCAATCAGCCGGTGTTGGCACCACCGTTCGTGAAGCCGAGGTCCTTTAAGGGACAAAAAGAATAAGGAATTTAACTGGTTAGTTGAGTAGCGTGAGTTTGGAACTGAGCAGAGGGAAAGGCTTACGCGGAATGAAAACTCGGTGTCTCTAAAGTACCTACTGTCCAAGGTACTGCAACAAGTTCTTGCTCTCTGGCCCCGGTCCCACTACCTGCTAATGTTAGTAGTGGTCTTTTTAGTAGTTAGTAGTGGTCTTATTGCAAGGGATAGACGTTTGATTTTACATTTAACGTTTATTGAGCGCCTGCCTGTTGTGAGGTCCCAGGCTCAGTGAAGGAAACAGATTTCTGCAGTCTTGAAGGTTATATTCTAACAAAGGGAGGCGATGCATTATGTGGTGTGTTAGAAGGTGGTTACGAGGTTTGGGAGAGGAAAAAGTAGGGCAGTTCACATCATTAAATAGGAGGTCAGGTTAAACACCAGTGGGAAAGTGAGATCTGAAAGAACTGAAGGAGGCTAGGAGAAGAGCAGTCCAGGCAGAGAGAATAGTTGACATTATCAAAAAGAAAAGAGGGGCTGGAGAGAGGAAAGTGAAATAGAGTGCAGATTTCGCAAGGTCCTGTGTGCGTGGCAGTTACTCCGGAATGGGGAGCATTGCAGGATTTTGAGCAGAAGAATGACACCATCTGACTTATGTTTTAAAATAATTGCTCTGGCTGCTGTGTTTAGAACCAAATGAAAGAGAATATTGACAGAAGCAAGGAAACCTGCTAGAAGGTTATTACAATAGTGCATAGTACAGGGTGCAGGAGATGAATATTGCTTGGAACAGGTTAGTATGGAAAAGTGCTCAGATTTTTTTTTTTTTGGGGGGGGTACTGTAAATTGAATTGAAGATCTCTTATGCATGAGAACTCTACCACTGTGCTACCCGCCCCTGGCTATTTTAATTTTATTTTGAGACAGGGTCTTGCTAAGTTGCCAGTCACAAACTTGTGATCTGACCTAGCTCAGTGGCCCATGCCCATAATCCCAGCAGCTCAGGAGGCTGAGCCAGGAGGATGGAGAGTTCAAACAGCCTCAGCAATGGGAAGGCACTAAGCAACTCAGTGAGACTCTGTCTCAAAATACAAAATTGGGCTGGGATGTGGCTCAGTGATGGAGTCTCCCTGAGTTCAATCCCTGGTATCCCAAAAAGAAACAAAGCAAACAAAGGAAAAACTTGTGATCCTCCTGCCTCAGTTTCCTGAGTACCAGAATTACATGCATTCACCAAGTGCCTGGCCAAAAGTGGTTAGACTGAATGCATTTTGAAGGTAGAGATGATATCAAGAGAGGAATTAAGACTCTCTAAGCCAGATCTGGTGGCCTATTACTGTAGTCTCAGCTATTTGGGAGGCTGAGGCAGGAGAACTGATTGAGCCCTGATATTGGGCCACATATCAAGATCCCATCTCAAGGGGCTGCAGTTGTTTGTAGTTCAGTGGTAGAGTGCTTGCCTAGTATGTATGAGGCACTGAGTTTGATCCTCAGTACCACATAAAGATAAATAAATAAAATGAAGGTATTTTATTCATCTACAACTGAAAAAATAAAACAAAAAGAAAATCCCATCTCAAGAAAGTCCCTTTAAGGGGCTGGGGATATGGCTCAAGTGGTAGCATGCTCGCCTGGCATGCGTGCGGCCCGGGTTCGATCCTCAGCACCACATACAAACAAAGATGTTGTGTCTACCGAAAACTAAAAAATAAATGTTAAAAATTCTCTCTCTCTCTTAAAAAAAGAAAAAAAGAAAGTCCCTTTAAGGATTTAGCCTGAGCAATTAAAGGGGGGCTTGACATCGACTGAGGTAGAAAAGGCTAGGACCGGAGGAACAGAATTGGAGACCCAGGAAAATAAGTATTTATAATATTTTACAAATTAGAATCTTTTGGTCAGAGAAGCATGGTTGTAACCAGAGCATGTAACCGAGTTTGCTAACTTAGATGAGGATCAAGAAGATGTTCTTCCACCCCATATGGATGATGGGGGGTTGGGTACTGGAGATTGAACCCAGGATGCTTTACTACTGAGCTACATTTCCAGCCCTTTTTATTTTTTGAGACAGAGTGTTGCTAAATTGCTCAAGCTGACCTTGAACTTGCAATTTTCCTGTCTCAGCCTCCCCAGTGGCTGGGATTACAAGTACCAGGTGAGACCAAAGGAAGTTTTTAAACAGGCTTATTACACAAAGAGAAATTGAGAGCAGCCAAGAGATAATGGAAAATTTTGAATGCCTTCTGGTGAATATGGATGGCCACTCAGACCCAATCGCTCACTGAAAACAATAAGATTGCAGGATAGAGGGGTTTGGTATAGCATCAGAAGCAGTTTGGAGTTCAACTGCAAGTTTCAAAGATGCTGCCCAGAGAAAAGAAAAAGTGGTTCTGGAAGAGAGGGAGGGAAGGAAGTAGCTTCTGGATGTGACAGTGCTGTCAAGAAGGCTCGGGATTCTGAAGATGGTAGCAATGCAAGAAAGGTCAGACATATTCAGGTGAAAAACATGGAAAAGTTAAGGTCTGGAATGAGATGTAATGAAGTGGCTGCACAACAGAGTAAGGATAAACCCAGGCAAGGGTTGACTTGTGTTGGATGACCGAGGATTCATTTTAAGCAGCAACATTTGCCTTTCCTGTAAGTAGGATGGATAAGCCTGTGTTTATAGACCCTCCAGCTAAGACAAGGAAGAAAATATTATGTAAGAGACTGAAAAAAGATATATACAGAGGCATGGAATATAGTTTGGTGGTAGAGCACTTGCCTAGCAT